GGAGCCTGCTTCGGACTCTGTGTCTTCTTCTCTCTCTGCCCCTCCCCTGCTCACGCTGTCTCTCTCTCTTTCTCTCTCAAAAAATAAATAAAACATTAAAAAAGTATAAAAAATGAGTAAATATTAAAAAATTATAAAAAATAAACAGAAGGGCAGATCGAACAAAAAGGAAAAGAAGGGGGAAAAGCAGAAAAAATGATAGAAGACAGAGAGGGCAAAACCTAAATTCATGCATAACCACTATCCTGTGATTCATGATATTTACAAAGTAATGCCTGTTCTAAAAGTACCCCAAAAAGCCAAGAGCAAAGGCTTCGCCCCAATAGGTTGTATCGGAATCCACCAGGAAAAGAAAACCATTCTTGGGACTGCAGATATGGGGAATGTCACACAGAGAACAGGTGCAGAACGACTGAGAGAGCAGGCAGGTAACACTGACCACACCTGAGGTACACAGCAAAAAGAAACCCTAACCCTCCCTGGAGTTGGGGAGAAAACAAACCTTCCCTGCCAAGATCAAGAGAGTAAGAATTTAGGCTTCAGGCCGTTGGGTAGATGTCTGTCCCGACTACAATCCTCTGCCATGGCCAGTCCAAGATGATGCCGACACAGGTGGGTACCGCTGTGTTACAATGGGACTTGCAGAAACAGACTCCGGGCTGGATTCCGCCATCAGGGCTGAACTTCTGCCAGCCTGGGGCTGGCTAGGCAAGCAGGGTCAATACCAGGATGGAGCTCACTCAGTGGAAGCTGAAACCACGACCTCTAACGGCAAATGCAGGGTACAGGCCACGTCGAAGACCCCACATTAAATAAAAGGAAAAGAGAGAGATGACGGTGGAAATTCCCCCATGGTCTCCTACCAGACCCTCTCCCGGTACAGAGGCAGCTGGATGCCACCTAGCGAGGGACCTAGAAGATGTGTCCTGTGGTTACAGCCTCTGGAATAACACACAGGGACAAAGATAGAAGAATAGGACGCTGAACAGCCCCCAAATTGGCACCACTGGGCAACTAATTTCATACGTTAAAAAAAAAAGTTACACTGACACAGGTCGTGTCTCCTCCCTCCGAATGCAGACACGGGACTACATAAAACAGTGGTGGAAAGAAGAGCTGTGAAAAACAGTCACCCCCCTCCCTTTTTGTGGGAGGTGTGGGAGGTGATATGAGGAGCAGACTGTGTGTGTGTGTGTGTGGATATGACCTTCAGGTCAGGTTGCTGACCGTCAGGGGACAGCCGGATGACACTGGCAGGCAGGAGCCTTCTTTTCTTTTTTTTTTCTTTTAATGTTTTTTAAAAATATTTTAGTTATTTCTGAGAGAGAGAGAGAGAGAGAGAGAGTGAGTAAGCAGGGGAGGGTCAGAGAGAGAGGGAGACACAGAATCTGAAACAGGCTCCAGGCTCTGAGCTGGCAGTCAGCACAGAGCCTGATGCGGGGCTCGAACCCATGAACTGTGAGATCATGACCTGAGCCAAAGTCAGATGATTAACTGACTGAGCCACCCTGGTGCCCCGGCAGGAGCCTTCTTAAGGCCCTCACCCCTCTGGGGTTTGTGTTTCAAGGAGCAGGCGGGTGTGATGGCGTTGATCTGCCACCTGGGGCGCCACTGGCCTTTCCTGTGCCTTCTTCATTCTCTAACCCGCTGCCAGGTAGCTTCTCCCTAGGAGTGGACTAAGCCCTGCGGGGGTAGGGGGGTAGGGGGGTGGGGGGGCGTGGGGGGGTGGGGTCCTGTGCACTTAGGATAAAATCAAACTGGATAAAACTGATGCAGAGTGTGCTTATATGAGGCTGCATATATTTTTTTTGGGGGGGGGGGGGCGGGGAGGTTGATTTTCTGTTTCCGAAAACGGAATTTCACGAAAATGCCCCACCCCAACCCTGCAAGGTTCTCATCACATGACAAACGGGTCTAAAGTAAAAGACGCTGTAAATAAAGGGGAACTGTGGTCAGCCAAAGGACCTACAAAGACCCAAATGAAAGCACAGGGAAAGCACGTGGGTGTGGATGTACATAGGCAGATTTCTGAATATAGTTAGAGATTTGCAGGGTTTTTTATTCCCTCGCCATTAAACTACCTGACATTAGAGGAATCACTGCGGTTAATTTTCTATCCCTGTTAAGTGTCCCATGCAGTAGAAAGAGAAAGCAAGGTTTGGAAATAGATCTATTCACAGCCAGGATTGTGTAGAATAAGTGTCTAAAAAGAGCTAGTTATCTGATTCAGGCCCTATTAAATCAAATTCTCAATTCTTATGTTAAAATGCTCATCAGAAGGTAAACGGAGGCTTTTGGAGAAATCTGAACCTACTTTTAAAGGCGATCTCTACAAATTTACTACATTATGGTCAAGGTCAACATAGTAAGAAAACACTTTACAAGAGAGCCGGCCATTCTTGGCTCCTATGGATGGATGCAAAATTATAAACTTATGGGGCTTAAGAAGCAATCATCTAAATAAAGTTAAGCCATTAAACGAATAAGATTGAGGTGAAAAAGTCAACGACATTTTATAGATCATATATTACTCAGGACTGGTAACATTTTAGATACTCGTAGCTTAGTAATCTTCTCTATGTCAAACTTCCCTAATTTTTAAGTATAATATAGAAATCCTGAAAAGAAGCAGCTGACAGTTTAAAAATACCAAGATAGGTTGATTGGGGCATTTTAACTACTTTTACAGCAGGTTAATCACAGGACCTCCAGATTTTCCATGTGACTCCATTTCATAAGCGAAATTAGAAGCTCTCTCCCTTTCCTCTCCAAAACCTGTAATCTCCAAGCAGCGAAAAGTTAACCCGACAATTGAAATTCTTCACCAAGATAGAAACCTCATCTCTCATGGAAGATCATGAATGGCACTCAATGAGCTCTGTTCATCAAAGGTTTTATTAAACACAGGCATGGTGTCTGGGCATTTATTAAGTCTCTGAGCCCCGCGCACTGAAGTCAAAATTCTAGAAATGACCATGATAGGGAGGGAAAAAAAAAAAAGAACACAGCACCTCGGTGCTAAGACACAACTCTGCAATACAGATATAAATACTGCTCTCCAGGATCCTCTGTTCCTTTCATATTTTTGATATCTTTATCCAGGCCATCAACATTTTTTCTCTGCCTCCTCATTCCTTTGGCCATTCTTCCATAACCTTTCCTGTCCTCCCTAGGCTCCAATATTCCCCGAGCTCACAATTTTTCTTTCTAGCCTTTATGTCCTTCCACAAACTGCCAGTGTTCTTCCACAGACCGGAGCTCCCTAACTAAAGATGGTTATTGATGTACAGTACCAGTATTTTAGTGCAGCAGCAGAATCAATAAACGAGAAAATACTGCTTTGTCAGGCTTCTCCAAAGCATGCTGGGAAAGTTTACTGCTTCAGATGGTCAGAGAAGCTCTTAATATGGGAGAGCAGGGGCTGGGCTCCCCTCTGTGGCAAGAAATGATCTTCTTCTACCCTCTAGTGACTATAAAGGAATAAGACAAAAGTTGGAGGAATTTTCGAGATGGTTTCGTTTATTATTTACTCTCTTAATTTTGTTTCCAAAAAAAATTACAGAGAGTCTTGTAAACCAAGTGAACTGATTAACAGAACTTATAGTAGTTGTATTTAAAGTGTTCAAAATTGCAAAGGGTCTACATGGTAGTAAGAGGCAAGCTTTGATTCCTTTGGATTTTAAAAAGCAAGGTTTGGAAAGTTTGTCATTCTTCCTAAATGACTGGTGTTAGTCAGGTGACAATGCGCTCTCTCTGTCTCTGTCTCTGTGTCTCTTTCACAGACACATTCTTACAAAAACTCACAAAATCTGTTTCAATTGCCTTGTTTGACACAGAAGTGAACAACTGAAACACAATGAGATTAGAAATTAGAGCTGGTATAAGATTTGTGCACCTATGTGTGTGTGTAAAGAAACATATACACAGAGATTGTTGATGTATACGCCAAAGACACACACACACACACACACACACACACACATCAAGGCCACCTCCATGTTGGTTATTTCTCTTTAAAAAGTAGCAGAGGAGGGGTGCCTGGGTGTCTCAATCTGTCAGGCATCCAACTCTTGGTTTTGTCTCAGGTCATGATCTCATGGTTGGTGAGTTTAAGCCCCACATTGGGCTCTATGCCAGCTGCCCAGAGTCTATTTGGGATTCTCATTCTCTCAATCTCTCGCTCCCTCTCCCTCCCTCCCTCCCCTCTTTCTCTCTCTCTCTGACCCTCCCCAATTTGCACCATCTGTCTCTCTCAAAATAAATAAATAAACTTTAATATATAAATAAATAAATTTTTAAAAAGTAGCAGAGGAGCTAAATTAAGTTACTAATTTGGTTACTAATTTTTGGTTTTGTTTATGTTTACATCAACTTTGGCAGTCACTCTATTACAATGTATTAATTTAAGAACCAGATAAATTAATAATGCATTCCTGCCTTGATACACAGTAGACCTTTTATAAGTTGGACGACAGTGTATAATTGCTTAAAAAGATACTAGTAGTGTAAAAAAAAAAAATCACCAGTATTTCCTGAAGAAACGTTTCAAGAAACTCTCAGCAACAAAGGTAATAAACAGGAAAATAAGAGTGATATAAAAGAGATTTATAAAATATACCACCTATGCCTCTCAATTAATCTTTTCACTGCCCCTACACGCCAAGCTAGTTTCCATCTAACGGTGTATAACTTCCTAAAGGACTAAATCTAACTGAACTACACTCCAAATAATCCGGGCTTAATGAACTGTAACGCTGTAACGTGGCTGGTACATATAAAATGTCACCACTAAAACAAGTATAAGTTCAAACATCTGGCTATGCCCTTATTAAATGAAATTTAAAAGGGAGGTTGTTTCCTTCTCATTCACAGCAACACTGAGAGGAAGAGAATGCTGTTAGGCATAAAAGTTGGTTAACACCAGTCACGTCTACATTTGTGCTTGCCACAAAGATGACCGTTTTACCAAATGACATAAAGAAGAAAATAACTATATTTACCTTGTTGGCACTCAACCGCTTCCGATTTGACCAACGCTAGGGATTGAGTCCATTGAATGGTGAAAAAATGGCAAAATGAAAGAGAGAAATAGAATCGTTAATGACAATTCTGTTATTACTTAGATGGTGCAGACTATATTCAAACAACCAACACCCAAGTTCTGAGGTTACAGAGAAAACATGTTTGAGCAAGAAAACAGAAACAGAAAAATCACATTTTTGTGCTTGTGTTATAGGATTTCCCCATAGCATTCAATAATGAAAAGACAAAGACATAAGAACTTAGCAGTTCTTAGTATGAGAACGATCTCCATTTTTAGAATGGTTTTAATTGCCTTAAAACTCTGTAATTTCACCTCTAAAAGCAAATTGGAAACTTGGGTTGAAATATTGAAGTATTCGGAGAGTACTATGAACATTTTTAAGAAGTTCATGGACAACGTTCGTGCGTGTTTAGGTTTCCACATTTTTTGATATTAAAAAAAGTCATTCCATTTACCCCCATGAATCAAATCTCAATATTCAAAATAATAGGGGAAAAAATCTGAGCTGCTGCTACTGGACAATTAAGAAAAATAGGCTAATAAAGCACCGAGGGAGGGAAGAACAAATTTTCTGAACAGCAAGTAACATGGCCACCATTCTCTTTTGATCTCTCATTTGTCATGCTAAAGGCTGATGAATTTCATCTACAATTAAAATTCTTTCCTAGCAAAATCCTCTCATTACCCCCATCACCATCCAGTACTGTGAAGCTTTACTCTGGATGGTTAACCAGCTAACTGGATGTTAAAACTTGGATAAATTTGGGAGATTACAATGCAATTATGAATCTAATCGAGCAGAGCACATTGACTATCATGCTTAAGGAAAAAAATACTTTTAGGTGAATGACCTATCTGCTTTGACAATACATCTTCCCAATAAGTTAGAAACCAGAAAATAAATGGTCTTTGGGGGGAAATCCACTTACATTCTAGCGACCAGCAACCAGAAACAGTGGTACGGAAACGACTAAAATATCCTTTATTAAAAAACAACTTCCCCGAGTGGAACTGTGAGTTCAACATTTAGCACATGATGCAGGGTTATAGATGCTACAATCTGGGTGTTAAAATCAGTTCTTTTGTTATTTTCCCAGCAATGTCCTGACAAATATGGGCAACCCAAGCAAGCACCAAAATTCACTACCATCTTAGAGGCTATTTAAGACCCTCTGACATATAATGTATTAGATTTTTTAATGAACATAAAAGATGAACAAAATAGATGAGGAAATTAATGGAAAGTGAATATCCCGGTCTGCTTCCTACAGTCCTAAGAACTACCAAGTATGGACAGTCGATCCCACCCAAAGCTACATTTGATAATCTCTATCTTCACAATTCTGTAAAGTACATTTTTTATCCTCATTTCACACGGGAGGGAACTGTAGCTGAGAGGTTAAGTAACTCTGTGAATGTGACCTGATCCCTTAACTTCTCGAAGCTCGAAAAGGAGTGGAGCCTGGGATTCAAATCCAGGCAGTCTGCTGACCTGACCGAGCTGCCCATTTGAACGAGAATCCTAATTTTGCCAAGAAAAAGAAACAGACAGCAGGCTCATCCCCCTTCCCACTGGGCATGTACACACCCACATGCAATCCTTAAATCTCTGCACGGGAGGACCACTTTATACACATCTTGCTTCTGTTCAGGTTGTGGATCCAAAGGGACAAAGATGGCCAGGAGGGAAATTTACAAACGGAATGATTCCCAATCAAATGCCCTATTTATTGTCTTTCTAGGCTTGTGTGTTAGTTAGTCCCATTTAAAAACCCAATGTAAGGATGGGTTTTCACTTAATGAAAAGAACGAATGTTTTCGGATGCCTCTTCTATCCAAAGGGGCCCCCGATATAAACTGCATGAGCTGAGTGACCACACATGGCCCAGGACAGATGATTCCTTGCTTGTATGTACTTTGATCAAGTACACAAGCAAAAAATAAAATAAAACCACTGAACGGAACAAATGACAGTGGGCAGGGCTTTCTCTATTATAAAAGCCCATAAAATATATATTCAAGAAATCTATTTTACCCCAGACCTCTGCCAGGTAAGCAAAGAACAAAGAAAACGAGAAACCACATGAACAAGCAAAAACACAGTCTGGCAAATTCGTGAAGACAGGACGTGGTGAGTCCAAGGGAAGAAGGACCAAGTTCAGTAAGATGATGGGTGTGGCTGTGTTTGGGACTCTGAAAACATACTCTGAGACATTTTACAAAAGCAACTTCAGGCGGCATCAAGGATTAATAGCTCTGTCACTGGAAATAAATTTTAACTAGAACAGCACTACTTTAAAACTGCAAATTCAAGCCATATTTAAATATATTTAATGGGGGGGTGCCTGGGTGGCTTAGTCGGTTAAGCGTCCGACTTTCGCTCAGGTCATGATCTCGCGGTTCATGGGTTCGAGCCCCGCATCGGGCTCTGTATTCACTGCCAGCTCAGAGCTTGGAGCCTGTTTCAGTCTGTGATTCCCTCTCTCTCTGACCCTCCCCTGCTGATGCTGTCTATCTCTCTCTCCTAGAAATAAATAAAACATTAAAAAAATTAAAAAATATATATTTAATGGGAAATACTACAGAAAAATTCGCAAAAGAAATAGAGGAATTGGTAGCTATTTTCATGAGGAGTTATCGAGCTTTACAGACCCCACTTAAAAATGTAAGAAAAGTTTAAGAACATAGCAGCCAGGAATCACTCAATCACAGGGCAGATGACAATTATTTACATCATATGTTTGTTTCACGTGGCATCCAGCTCAAAGAGCCAGTCACCTACTACACATGTGACAAGGAATCCAGTAGCAAAAGCATCAAGCCTGAGAGAAGCTTCATTATGTTGAGTTGAAAAAAAAAGTTTATTTTCAACATCAATTGAAGATACGTTCAAACCGAAACATCAGCTCTACTGAAGCTTAGAGTTTTAAAAGTACCGTTCCCTTTAGAAAAAACAATAAATGGGAAGTCCTTTTTCCCAGTTACTGTCGAGTAAATGCTCCTCAGTAAAAAATCCAAATTAAAAACAGCAACTATTTGTGGACTTTCTGGAAACTGAAAAATCACTGTGTAGCTTCACAACTGCTTTATGCTATCTTCTGTGAGTTTCCTAGTAAATCAGTCATGATTTTCACCATGAAAATAAATTACATCTACAAGCAAAGGTGATGTCAAAATGAAGAATATTCTCCTCATCGACCCTACTGACTCAATTCAAGAAGCACTATTAGAGGCCTAATTTATAAACAGGCTTCAGATTTCCATATGAGATTCTAAATATGCTTCAATTGGAACACATTTCAGCTCTTTTCCAAGTAGGTATTTTAGTTGGCTTTAAAAATGCCTTTCAAATACGTCACGATCAAAGATGCTTTTTGTTCTTCTTTTAATTCTTGGAATTATAAGGCATGATCCCCAAATATAAAATAAGACTATGATTTGTTTTCCCATATTTGCTCATAAGAACAGAGTCCCAATCATATCGTCATAAAATCCAGTGCTTTGTTGGTGTTAGAGAGATCTTCAATAGGCGGTGCATTGACTAGAAACATCCATGTAAGAACAGATCAAACAATATTAAAATTTACATCTTCCCAAAACTACTCTCAACAGAAAACGTGGCAGCAAAAAAAATCCAAAAACCGAAAACCAAAAAACCAAAAAACAAAAAACACAGAAGAAATTGCAATGCTGCAAATATGTAGTTGATCACCTTTACTAATGTACAACATAATAATTAAATCCCGGGAACTGCTTGGCATAACTGAATAATACCTGAGTCATCCAGTACCTAAGAAAACAGTAAATGGAAACCTTACCACTTAGTAAAAGTATATTTCAGATGATTGTTACTAGTGAACTATAAGCAGTTAATAATAGCAACACAAATCCACATCCCCAGCCAAAGCAGAGATTATTCCTTAAAGGATTTTCTTTCCAAGGTTCTAAAGGAAAGGATACGCATAACCACAGATAGGTACTTAGGTGCTTTACATTTCAATACAATAATTTGTTTCCCTCCAAAAATAAATTAACAACAACAACAACAACAAAAAATGCCCACCATCTGGTAACCCAGTTATTAAAGGACAATTGCAGTGAAGAATTTTGAAAAGGACAAAAGGGTGATACTTACATGTCTCTTGAAATCGCCCTGTTTTACTACTAGGTTCAAATTTAACACAATCACCCCCATGTCCTCTTCTAAACTGTTGGGGTCTTCCAATTTTAAAATATGTTCAGTTGTCCTACAAGCAAAAAGCAACAAATAATATTAGCACTTATGGGCTAGTACTAGACAGTCTCAAATTGCATCAGCAGCTTATGGTCAAAGTCTCCTACCTCTGCATAAGGGTGAGACATGAGTTTTAAAAAGCACCAAATTCAGTAAAAATAACACTGCCATCTTCAGAGTAGGGGAGCTGTTTGGCATTGCCCTATTCAACAGTCGGTTAATGGATTCTGTCCCTTTACTGCCCAAATAAAATTTAAATACTTGTTTTATTTTTAAGTTAGGTAGATTAATGAACCTGCATGTTAACGGTTCAAAATCCAACACACATTCCAGAACACACTGTGGATGATTTAATGTCTGACTCCTAGGTTTGGGAGCTAAAAGCTAAAATCATAGGGGAAAAAAAATTACATTTTAAAGCACTCTTTCACTGATTCCGATTTTTATTTTTGTCGTTTGATCTGAACAAATGTCATTTGACCGTATGTTGAGTTCCCTCTAAAATTCATAATAACAATTAGAAGGTAAAAATACAATACCTGTTAAGCTCAAGATCTCTGAGACTGACAAATGCAGAGCCCATGAAATCAGATGTAGTTAAATCCCGATCATATACCTACAAAGAGGGAATAGGCCAGTAATACACATTAATACCGTAAACCAACTGAGTTTTTCAAATTACCAATAAACGCAAGAGGCTGGGAACTTCAAATTCAATCTTCTCTATCTAAAAAATAATCTGCAGAGTACAGTCAATGCAGAATTTAGCCAAGTGGATGGAGAGATCAAAATTATTCAAACTTGACCATTTTGCCTACCACAGCCAAAACAATAGCACAAAATACTTTTAAGGCAAGATTCATATGCATTCAAATGTTATGCACAATGGACCACTCTCTAGAGTTTAAATGGCCTCTCATTAAAATTTAGTATTTTCCATGGTGAGCAGATCTGCTAATTAAATAGAAATTTGCTAAATATTCTATAACAATCCCATCCTGCACTCAACTCATGCAGTTTTAACCCAGATGTTAGAGCACTTGATGCTTCCAACCAGTAGCTTAAAGCTCTATTAAGTTATTCCTAATGAGAACGGCTTTCCTACTTTTCACCACTGCACCAACAGTCATAATTCTTCCACGTGCAGTAAGCTTAAACACAACCAATGGAGATATTATTTTCACTCTGGTTTTCTGTGGTGTCTGTACCACTGATCTGAGAAAAAAACATACGGTTTCAACAACGGGTATAAATAATCCCTTGCACACGAATGTGTTTCACCCAGAGCTGAATAATGAGAGAAGAATCTGGGGACGTGGCATTTTTAAGGGGGCAAAGATTGCCGAGAAATCACTGATTTTAATAAAAGAGCAGATTTGAGAGCCATCTGTGATTACCTTCACACGGAGCTTTTGATCAAGGCTTTGAATGGGAAGTACCACTATCTCATCCCATACTGGATTCAAGTTCTTATATATGACTTTACTTTTGTACAGCGTCTTCCCATTCAGCTTAAATTTCACATAGGGATCGCTTGTGCCTTTAAAGAGAAAGAGAGAGCGAGACAGGTTTTAAAAATCTACGTAAACGCCTAGGATCTCCATTAAGTAAAGATTCTTTCCACACTCCCCTGGCTCCAAATATTTTCCCGAGCACACCCAGAACAAATGTCTCCCTGCGCAGAGACTGAAGGCCCCAGAAGTGGAGAGGAGAGAAAAATGAAACGATTTGGAATAAATGACTGATCCTTCTTTGCCTTAAGAGGTGGAATGCCAATGGGCTCCTTGAGCTTTCTTCTGTTTTGTTTCATCCTCTAATCATCGCTACACTACCCACAAAAAGGCAAGAAACAAAATCCACCCGCAGCAGCCCATGGTGTCAGGATCCTGGGGAGAGCCCCACCCCTCCCAAGAATGGCAGGGAGTCAGTGAAAAGGGAAAGAAACCATTTTCAAACGTTTGGCCAGATGGCTGACTCAACAGAACGCTGTACTTTAGCATAAAATCATAATAAATCAATCAATCTTGGGAACTGCTGGCTCAAAAGACGGGGCAACGGGAATGAAGACAGGGGGCACCGGGGGCACGGAGATTAAATGGACAAAGTTGCCATTCTTCGCTGCCTCCTACACCTGCAGTGAAGCAGGGGACGTTGTCTCACCCTGGCCTTGCTGAACGCCACACCAGCCAGGCCCTCAGCTGGCCTCGGGGCCGATACCCCTGACCCTCCCAGCTCCCCCCCCTCCCCCGGGGAGCTTTGAAACAGACGCCAAAAAGAATGAATAATGTCCGTCCAGCCACTAGAACCAAAGCAGAAAGAAGGGCCGATGACAAACCCTCCTCCACACTTTCAGAAGAGTTGAGGGGAGTGGGGAGAAAAAAAAAGAAAAGAAAAAGCCAGTCAACATAAACTAGGAATTCGGTGCTGTGCACGCCTTTCGCACACCTGCCAATAGACCATCATATCTGGGACACACTTGTGCATTGATATGTCGTGCATGATGAATACAGAAGGCACAAATGAGTAAACAAGCAACGAAGGCATAACTGAAGGCCAGCTGATAACACCACAAAGAAAGACAAAACTCTAATCCGAGGAGTTAGGATATTATAATCAACTGTGAAACTGACAACCTAGTCTGTTTCATCCTCTGCTGTGTCCCAGGGGCCATGGATGGTGCCCCACACGGGCCCCCAAATATTTAACAATCATCAAGTCCTGAGATAAAGTCAAGCCTAAAGAGTCTAAAAACATTATGTCCAAAATTATTCCGGCTACTCTGTGGCAAACATTTACCAAATCGTTAATACCCATCATTTGGCTTTTATTCTCTTACGCTCATCTTTTGGGTTTCTATTGACCAGCAGTATTAACAATTACTGAACATGGATGCAGGATCTTCCCCAACTTCTTTCTTTAACACAACATACATTGTTTAGAAGTCTTAACCGATTAACCACGCTAGTATAATAAGGATGGGGGCCTTCCAATATTGCAAGATGTCTGACCAGAAGACCGAGAAATTAAACCACAAATACGCAAATATACGTACTCGACTCTCACATTTTAAGTTTGCCAACCCGGAGGCAGAAGTCCAGCGGTCTTTATTTTAATCTTGGACACACACACACACACACACACACACTCATGTCATGTTAACTGGCGGCTCTGGCCAGGACAGTAAAAAAGGAAGGCATTCACAGCCATTTAGTGGCCCACTCACTAGTGAGCAAGCCATCTGCCCCCCTCCCCTTTTATAGTACAAGGGAACACGTCTGGCAAGTCAGACTTTAACAATCATTCTGATATATATATAAAAAAAATGGGGGGGGACTATAATAAAAAGAGGCCTTTAATTAAATGAAATTGCCACTCTGGGATCGGGCCTTCATGCCTGTCAGCGCACTCTCAAAATAAACATCTCAAAACTAGGCCTCAGTGGTGTCACTTTCTCACAGGCAAAGCATGCTGGGTAATCCCCAGGCATCCTGACAGCTACATAATGTTCAAACGGTTTCACGGGTGAATGGCGTCAGTTGCGTGAAAGAAAATATTAATGTCTGGAATTAATAGAAAGAGGGACCAGGGTTTACAAAGCCAAACAAGGAAAAAGGGTGTCAAGTTAGTGTGGCGTTAATTGTTAGGGAAAATTTGAGAAAGGGGCGGGGGAGGGGGAAGCACATGGTGATTTTCTCGCTGAGCCTAAGAGCCTCACTGTCAGAGAAGTGACATCTCAACTAAGCAAGTTCTGAAAAGAGGTCTGCGGCTTAGGAATGCAACTCCCGATTAGATAAATGATGAGACAGCACCTTGAATGGGTGGACTTGAACCTTTTTTTTCTTTTTTTAACTGGGAGCTTCAGAGATAATGAGGCTCTTTGGAAGAAAGAGGTAGTGTGGTACTCTGGGAGGAGAATAGAGCGGGGGGTGGGGGGGGAGATGAGTGCCTCTGTCCTGGCAGACCCGATGGGGTCGCACACAACCTCCAATTTAGAATATCCAGGAGTTGGGGCACCTGGGTGGCTCAGTAGGTTGAGCGTCCGTCTTCGGCTCAGGTCATGATCTCATGGTCCATGGGTTCAAGCCCTGCATTGGGCTCTGGGCTGTGAGCAGGCTGGAGCCTGCTTCGGATTCTGTGTCTTCCTCTCTCTCTCTGCCCCTCCCCTGCTCGCACTCTTTCTCTCTTTCTCTCAAAAATAAGCATTTTTTTAACTAAAAAATTAAAAAACAAAATAGAATATACAGGTGTTAAGTCAGCATCAACGGCCCGAGTTCCCTGCTACACTCCAGACACCCCAGGGTTCAATGCATGCTCAGAGAGACCGACATCCGTTCATCAGTCCTCGAAAGATGCCACACCAGGGGAGACTCCTGACCACACCTGTGACAGTCCTTCCTTCTGCCCGTACTCAATGCCATCACTGTCTCTCAAGCCTCCCTTGACTGTGTACCTGTCAGGCCTGCTAACACTGTTCACATGTCACAAGCACTAACGGCTGACTTCAGAGCCTGGATCGGTGCTAGGCACGACGGGGAGGGGGGTCACGGAGGTAAATCAGTCCCAGATCCTGCTCCAGTTCCGTCTTCTGCACCTGGCGGGCAGCAGGTGTTCGGTCAATATAACACAAGGCCCAAGAAATAAGTCTCAAAACAGAAGTGAACTCAGGGGTGACATGGTTCACAGGTGGGAGAGATTAGCTCGAACCGGGGTGTCAGCGGAGGGTGAAAGGAAAGAGATGCTGGTTGAAATCTGGGTGCACCCTGGGGCGCCTGGGTGGCTTAGTCGGTTAAGCGTCCGACTTTCGCTTGGGTCATGATCTCATGGTTTGTGGGTTCGAGCCCTGTGTCGGGCTGTGTGTGGACAGCTACCTCAGAGCCTGGAGCTTGCTTCAGATTCTGTGTCTCCTTCTCTCTGACCCTCTCTTGCTCTCTCTCTCTCAGAAATAAATGAAACATTTAAAAATAAATAAATAAAATGACAAAATACGGAGTTCAGTTTTTGTTCTATAAGAAATAGAGGATGGTTTGGTTTTCCTGTTCTTTTTTCTTATTTTTTAACAAATCTAAGACAAAGCACAGGTCTCAGAAAGGTACAAAATGAAATAGCCAAGTCTGTACTCTCTCACAAGTTCCTCATGCCCCTTCCTCTAAGGGGCTGCGTTTGTGGATTTACTATAGGAGAAACATGCAAGAATTTATTTTAACTCAAACATAATCATATTACGTGCCCTGGACATCCCACTTTCCCAATTATAATAGCCAGCGGTTCGGTTCTGTTCATACAGATTTAGCAGACTTTTCTTTTAATCAACTGCATAAACTTTCATTGTGTTGTTGATTACTTACTTACCTAACTAGTCTCCAAATAATGGACACTTACATCATTCCTTTTTTTTCTTACTAGTGCAAACAATACTATAATAAGTATTCTTGTCTGACATTTTGGAGTGCATAAGTGAGTATATTCGAAGGGAACTTTTAACATCGGAGCAGCTGGTTCTGACATGCACTGCCAAATTGTCCTTCCGAAGTTTGTCAAATTTACATTCCCACCAAGACTATATGTTTTGTGCTTGTTTCCTGCATGCTCATCAATACTGGGTGTTCTCTGCCTTTATTTTAAAAGAACAGCAGGTGAAAAAATGATATCTCTATTTTTCTCGGTGACATTTTGAGTAAAGTTGAGAATCTTTCATATTTTAGTGACCAACGTTTGTATTTGTCAGAGAAATTCTCATTCATTTCATTTGTCCATTTTTCTAAGATCTCACTGTTTGTTATTTGCTTCAGAATTTCAATGAGAGTTTAATTATGGAAACCCGCCATTGGCCATAAATCTTGTCATAATTTATTTATACTTAAGCTATTTCTTGCGGTAAAGTTTTTTTTTTGTTTTTATTTAGTCAAATTTAGCAAAGTTTTATTTATGGCTTTGTCACTGAACATTCTGCTTAGAAGAAAATTTTCTCACAGTAAGGTTTTGTAGTTTTTCATGCACTACACATACATCCTTCGTCCATCTGGAATTATTTCAGTGTGAAGAGGGAAGGATATTCAGGTTTCTGTATGAACAGGAGAGTAAAATGATCAGAGCCAAGCTTTGGAAATATAAACCTGGCAGCAGCTTAGGGTGCAGAAGACACAGGCTAACCTAGAAAACCTGGTGGTTGAGATAAGGTGGCACCAGGGAGTTGGGGGCCGAGAAAAAGGCTGCACCGGAAGAAGTAACTCAGGGTTTCCTCACCTGGATGGATGCCCCATGGACTGAAAGGGTTAGGTCATCAAAACCACTGGGAGAAGCTGGTTATGATTTCCTTCCCTTGGAATTTCAGAGTGTAGAGTAGAACTCTGCTAAGAACTACGCTAAGACAAACAACTATACAAACAGCTCAAACTTTTCTACTCTGTATTTCATCAAGTTATGTAAACACAGAATATAGTTTACTAGGAGCAAACTAAAAATGGTATTAAATTCCTCCAAATCAAAGCCGTAGAAGATGGATGCCAAAAATGGCCTAATGTGCACAGTACAGGTAGTATA